CTATTTGATTTCACCTAGTATTTGCTTTACTTTGCACAAGACGATTCAGCCAACTATATGCACCTGAAAATAGACACCATCTTTATATGTGTATGTAGATCTGGGTGTTGGAGAGAGTGAGAAAGATGCGCTAATATCCCGATTCTAAATCATTGCGTTCATACATTTCGTGTTTTTTTTTTGGGGGGGGGGGCATTAGATATCGAAAGTTAAAAAGTAAACAAATAAAATGTGTTTGCGTTCCATTCTATATTGTTGCATTATATTCGTATTGTCTTTATAACTCCTCATAATCCTTCATCAACAACGATGATATTGTAGATGAGGGTAGTTCCATAATATGTCGATGATGGAAGAGATTTTTTTTCTTTTATATTAATGAGTTTCAAGGCCGAGATTAATCTCATTACAAATGCCAGATATCTTTTTAAAGGTGACTGAATCTGTAAGTAAACGAATTTTCAGAATTTTGATCGCTTCGACAAATTGATAGCTTTTCGATATTTTTATTCTTTCTTCCTTATAAAGTTTTATTTCTTGTCTCTTTTCTTCTTCGCCTTCTTTCTTACCTTCGTTCTTACCTTCTCTCTTTATTCCCTTTTATCATTCTATTTCTTAGTCTTTTTCATTAACTTACGTTTTCATTTTCCCGTTTGTAACTTATCCTAATCTTCATTTCCCACTTTTCTTTAGGTAGATTTATATTTTTAATTATTCTTTTAAAGTTCTGTTATTTTTTATTTCTTTTTTCCCTAAATTTTCATTTTAGATTTTCTTTTATTATCATCATTAACTCGGTTATTATTATTATTATTATTATTATTATTATTATTATTATTATTATTATTACTATTATTATTATTAATCTATGTTATGTTTCCTGCTCTGTAGAACCAGGTCTAAACTATGGTCCTTAGGTCCTATAGGAGAACTCTCATTTAATTGATATTGTCATTTTTCTAAGTATATGGGATGTCCTTAGTAGGGCAACTTGTATGTTGATGTTACCTCGGACACTATTAGCAAAATTTTTCATTCCTTTTCTCACGAGGCCTAGATCTCCGATTACTATTGGTACAATCTCAGTCTTCATTCACCAGATCCTGTTAATCTCGATCTCAGGTCCTTGTATTTGGACAATTTCTCGATAATTTTCATGGTGGTACTGCTATGTCAATAAGCATACACTTCCTGAATTTCTTGTCTTTTATGACATTATCAAGTCTGTTGGCTGTTATTTCCCTGTCTGGTTGGTGTTCATACTATCTCTCAGTGATTTCGATTTTGTGCTACTTGCATATCGTCCAGTGCACTTCCAGTGCAATGTCTCTACCATGTTATATCTGTGAGTATATTCATTTTTTGCTAGCTCCATTCATCCTGAGATATGGTCGACAGTTTCATCTATTTTTCACAGATCCTGCATTTCAGGTTAGTTCCATTCTTGATTATGTGAGTCATAGAATCTGGTTCCGAAAATTTGGTCCTGAGCAGCAATAATTAGGCCTTCTGTCTTAGATTCCAACCCGGTGCTCTCAAGCACTGATGTGTTTTCTGTATCCTCATTTGAGTAAGCATTTTTCCGATCTTGGCATCCAATCTTTTAATGTCATTCAATTTCTATTTAATAAAGCTGAATCTGTATGTTACGACATGTATAGTTAAGGTGTTGATAGCCGCCATTTTATTGGCCCCATTAAGTTCGCTTTCTAGTATTACACTCTTCTATAATATTCTTTTCGGATTTTTTTTCTTCATAATTGAATATTGTGTACCGTCTCCTTCATTAATTCCTAAGTATTTGTATGTACCATCAATATGGAATAGGTGATTCAGTTTGCCATTCTGTGACTTGTATCTATAGCTACTGTTGTTTAGTAGGCAGCTAAAGTAGCGCTAATGCAATATCAAAGAGTAGTGGTGACAGTGAATCTCCTTGGAAGATCACACTTTTGATGTTGATTTGTCTCGAAGTTAATGATCCGTTTGTATGGTTTAGGTTTAGTATGGTCTTCTAGTTTTTCATGCTATCCGTTATGAATTTGACCGTTGTGGGACATAATCTGTATATCTTTAGGCTCTTCTCTATCCATGAGTGTGATACACAGTGGTTATTATTATTATTAAGGTTAGAAATGGCATCATTACACTCTCCACTGACAAAAAAATAATTACATAGATAAAGCCCTTCGTAAAGTGTGGGCTGTACTTGTGAGAACAATTTTTTGTATCTCTTTGAGGCATGGACTTCCAGGAATCCCTTCAATTAGTCCACTGAAATCTTTTCCAACCAATCCTAGGGTTCCAACTACAACAGGGATTGTTGATGTTACCATGTGCCACATTTTTGAGATTTCTATTTTGACAGCTTTTTGAATATCTTCAAAGATACATTACAGTCTGCAGAGACTGCCATATCAAAAGAGAATAGCTTCGTTTTAGAGGCGTTAAAATTAACAAGCCAGTTCTTGTCCCAGCCAACAAGTCGAAGGTTATTTTCGAGATAAGTTGCCAATTTGATTTTATCGAACCTATTAGACCTCCTCGAGTAAATAGTTGTGTCATCAGCATAGATAAAGAGTCAGGATCTGATAACATTGGGAAAGTCGTTGATGAAAATAAGGAACAACGTTGGTCTAAGTACAGAGCCTAGGTGTAAACCAGAACTAATAAAAGAAATCCAGAAGAGTGACCGTTCAAGACAAATTTCATTATGCTATTTGATAAAGATTGAATCAAAACCAAAAAATCGACCAGAAATACTATAACTCTTCAACTTGTGACGAAAACCAACATGCCAAAGCCTGTCAAACGCCTTCAAAACCGAGCTTCGCCACTCTTATCAGACAGAATCTTCTTTTTTCTTGACAGAATCTTTTAGCAATACATTGGCAGTTGGCCTAGAGAAACGAAAGCTATATTTTTTTTGTCTGAAAGAAGACCCTGCGAGGTGAGATGCTCAACCAATTAATTATTTTGTAAAACAAGGTAGAAGGTTGATAACTCGGGGGATCAGACTGTTCGCTAAAATCAGGAATTATAGAAGAGGATTTCAAACAAGGTGGAAAGCAAGAAACAGCAAGTATTAGCAAGTTTTAGAGTATGGAAAAACGGAGCGATACCGAAGAGTACACATACTTTGTGGGAATCAGGCTTACAGATGATAGCGGATTTATGTGCCTGGCAAGTCAGTTGAAGGGCCTCCTGATGAGTCGAGAGTAGAATTGAACACAATTTATGAGCAAAGCACTCTGCATTTTCAGCACAAAATGATAACACTAAAAATGAGTGAAGAGAGACGAGATTGATGATTTACCCTTATTTAACACATTCTTAAAAGACCGACAGTTGTTACGAGAGCCAAACGGTGCCTCACTCACAGCAAATAATGACTTGCCTCATTGAAGACACCTTTGCAGTCATTATGATCATACAAAAACAGGCTTCTGTTGGGATCAGTGCTATCCCGTAGGTATAGATGGAAAAAGTAATACCTGTAGGCTATAGCAGCTGAACATGCAGATGTGGACCAAGGTGCTTGTAGTTTTATCTGGCATTTACGAGAGGGCGCAAAAGACTCGATGATGTTTTTTACCTAAGAAGAAATTTTCAATAGGAACATTAAATATTTCAAGGGTCATCACAAAAAATCGTGAAATGGATCACAATCGATACGATGGTAATAGAAAAAAAAAGTCTTGCGAATAGTCTGTTTGTGCTTAATAGATGAGTCAAGAGAAATATTAACAGACACTACAATTTGATCCGAATTTCAAAGAGGACAGATTTGTAATGCACGACAAGAGTCAGGAAAGGAGGTAAGGAAAAAATCCACTAAGAAGACTCATTAGCCACAGTTAAAAGGGAAACGAGTGAGGAAGTCCACTATATTCAGCAACTGAAAAATTGAAAGTCTAAATACCGGCAACATCAATAGGATTAGAAGGATTAGCATTAAAGTCGCCAAACACAAAGATGTTGGCAGATTAATGTAGAAAGAGAGAGAGCGCGCCATTTACAAACTGTCAGATATTTTGTCTAACATGTTACAGAAAAAGGGGAGAAATAAAAAAAAATGATAGCTAACAGTGTAATAATGAACGTCGAAAGCACATGAAACGGAAACTCAAGAGACGGTTTCCTTGCCATTGGAAGATTTTCCCGAATGTAAACTCTAAGCCCATCCTTTCGACAAAAGGGGAAGATATCCTAGTAAAACCGCAAACCTAATAGTAGTGATAGAAAAGTTTATTTAGTTTCGCAGAGCGCTAAGATATCTGGAGAACATTTCAATAAACGAATAAAGGAATATTAAAGAAAGAAAGTAATAGGTAAAGTAGGTAATTTCTTGCAGAGTTGTTTACTTATGCTATTTAGAATGGTTGCAGTCAAAATACTCTAAAAAAATGAAGAATTGAAGCCGTCAATCAGTAATATACCCCCCCACCAAATAATACAGTAACTTTAATTAAATCTCTCTCTCTCTCTCTCTCTCTCTCTCTCTCTCTCTCTCTCTCTCTCTCTGAGAACACCCTGTGTCTGTCTCCGTATCTCTCAACGTATCTCAACAGCAGGTATTCTCTCTGTCAGTATAAGTATACTTTGGACGAGTCCATCTTATATAAAAAGGAGAGAGCCCCACAACAATTAATTTGCATAAAAAGGCTACATACATTTCTTCATACAGAATAACAGCATAAGCTTTTTTCTTCCTTTTTAAATATTCTTCTTTTTCCAATACAATAGTGCTGAAAGAGAAAAAATATGGTGGACGTTAACTTTCTTTTTCTAAATCTTTGATAACAGCTGTATATTGTGAACAACTCAAAATAATGCAAATGACAAAGTAAGTATAACTATTCTTGTCAGACTTTCTTGGCATGACATGACCAAGAAAGAATTTTTTAAATTTTGTTCAGATTTTAAGAGATCGAAATCTTTTTGATACCTGCCTTGTACACAGAATGAATTGAAGAAACATTCTTATGTCCTTATCATCA